GAAGGCGCTATCTCGACGACTTTGGAGGTGGTAGGACCCGCTATCGACGCCTGCGAGGCGAAATGCGCATGGTCCGTATGATCTCCCTGGTTGGCGCGGGACTTAACTTGCTTGCCGCTGTGTTTACCGCGCTGCTTGCCTTTGCCCTTGCCTTGACCTTCCTTCGCACCACCGCTGCTGCTGCCATCCTGGCGCTGCTGCTGCTGGTTGAAGTTTGGTTCGCCGTGCTTACGCTTAACGGCGGAGATCTTCTTCGCGCTCTGCGAAGATGACGCCTGCTTGCCGCCTTGCTCATAGGCAATGACGACAGACTCCCGGATGTAGTCAATCTTCATCTCCGTAAGCTCTTTGGCTTGGAGGATCGTGGTGACGACGGTGTCGTACCGGGAGGGCAGCGCATTGAGCGCTATCATCGCCCGCAGTGGAGGGCCTTGCTGGTCGTCTTGTTCTTGACAGCCGCCTTGACATCAGGATTTCGTGCAATTCCTCTGACGGCCCTGTCAGGGGCTTCATAAGCGCTCAGAACGCTTCATTTTGCATCAGAACGGCTCATACGGTCCAACCTCAGAATCTCGGATTTCTACAAAATCTCTGTGTCAGACAGAATTGTCAGACAGACTCAGACAGCATCAGAATTGTCAGACAGACTCAGACAGCCTCAGAATTGTCAGATGCTGCATCAGACCCTCAGAGGTACTCGACATATGTTTAGCCCCCAGATGTATTGCTTGTAAACGTCACAATTGATTAACAGCTACGCTAGCATAGTACGTATATACAATTCAGTAGACTCGCGCGGTACACTACAAGGTGAGCCCATGCGCATCATGGCGGGGATTCTCCTCGTACTCGCCTCGGCACGTTGCGTGGCGTGCTCCTGTCCATTTGCTGGTCTCGCCGCGCTCGTCTGCGTCGTACTGCCTCCGTTGCGCCTAGCTCCGGGAAGATCATCACCAATACGAGATTGAGAATGAACAGCATGAGGTGTGCATTGCATATCTGCGAGGACAGCGGGTCTAGAACCCCGTCAATCGCGTTCGTCCGTGACTCCTGCGTAGGGCCTAGGGCCATCGCGAGCGGTGCTAGTTAACCCGACGAGCCTCGTCAGTAACTCGTTTGAAGTACATGCAACGACGCAAATATGACTAACCTGGAATGGCTGCAAGAAGCCTCCTTCCGGGGGCTGCTCTCATGAGTGCTTGCTCCTCCGGCATTGAATCGAGTGGAGGCGGCGCTCGCCAGCCTCCGGGGAACAGTGCCCTCCTCGCGCTCCGACGATGCCAGCGATCCTATCCGGCGACAACGCATGAGTGTACAGGAGGTAGGGGAGGAGCCGTGAGAGGAACGGGTCGAGCGCGGTGAGTGGTAAGGCGAATGTCGGGGCCAGTGCGTGCGCGGTGAGTGATGGAGGGAGGAGGGTTTGGACGAGGGGCAGAGACGGAGCGGTGTAGTTCGGCGGAGACAGAGACGTTGGGGCGGACACAGCGGAGGCGGCGGGCTCATGGAGCTGGCGGCGGGCATGTCGAGGTAGGTTATGCTCTCAGTGGCATCACTCTTTCCCGGGCTAGGATGTGGCGCACTCGTTCTCGGCGGGCCTCTACGCGTCAGTCTTGGGCCTACCGCGTTATTGCTCAATCCGTTCTGGCACGTTGCGCAGGTACCCAGCGGTGGAGACCGGTGGTCTTGTGATTGTCGTGCGGTCCTCCGCATCAGCGTACGGTGTATCCCTCGCTACATCTGTGCGTGTAGACGCGTGTCGCATCATTACTGCGTGCGGCAGGCTTGAATTTGCCGTGTCCGTACGCGGCGGCGGTGCGCTGAGGCTTGGCTGGTGCATGGCTACTGATTCAATGTTAAATGCACACACTGGGACCATTGCGCTGTGCTCGTTCTCCGAGTCGTTGGTAGTGAACGCACCGGTGTTGTCTCCCTTGTATTAATCTCTGGCGGGCCGTCTGCGGATCAGATTGATAAGCGGGGGCATACTCACCGGTGCTCAAGTTTCTAGCCCTGCAGGTCACCCGTCCTTTGCGAGCCTCCAGGACTGCTCGTGCTGGCACGCGAACTTGGGGGTGCACGGCGAGTCTAGACATGCACCCAGTCTCAGGCCGTTTCATGCGCACTGTCTTTCAGACAGGCATCCACTGTGCCACAGAGGTAGGCAGCAGGGAACGAAGGACGCGGCGGGGGGAGAGACAAGGAGGAAGGCGGGAGAGGGTAACAAAAGCGAGAGAAGTGGCAAGCGCCGGCACGTGTGGCATGTCGTGGCAGAGGCGCTTAGCACTTGAACTGCGCCTGCGAGTCGTGACTCACATGACGTTCACGTATGCACCTTGCCGCTCGCTTTCTCGCACCTCCACCCGTCGTTTGGCCACCTGGCCACCGATGTACCCGCTCCTCCGACCTCCAGTGCACTTCCCTGACCTTAACAGGCACGACCTTCCGACGAATGCGCGTGGATGAGCCTGTGCGGACGTCTTCAACGACCGCCGCCTCGGACTCTGCACCACACCTCGTAAGCCTGACAGGCCAAGACGACAGACGGCTGGCGCGCGCGGCTCCGGACGTGGATGCAGATAGAGAGCGAGCACAAGAGGGGGACGGGATGGTGCAGATGTTGGGGAGATGAAGCGCGAGACGAGGTGCGTGTACCTCCAAGATCCTGACACTGTTTATACCCGGCCGTCCGCCCTCCCGCCGCTCAACAGTCACAGTCCTTGACGATTCCACGCACAAACACGTCCGTTGATGCACTCAATGCGCCTTGGGTGAGGAGTCCCTGCGCTGATCGCGCCGTTGTGCTGGCTGGGGCACAAGACCACCGGGTGAGTTGCTACCCATTCTTTGGTCTGTGTCACTCTCCACACTCTCTCGTAGCGTGGCTGTGAACGCCCTCTGAGTTGCGTGCAAGAACCGCGTCCGTGTCGGGAACCAGCGCCGTGGCGGACCATGCACCCAAGATGTGCGCCGCCATACCTTCACCGCGCCAAACGCGCCTCAGTCAGGGATACAGCGCGGCGCCTTCCCCTCCTCCGAGCGACGGGCAGCTCTCAATGTATGCACGCTCTCAATGTATGTACCCCCTCCATCCAGTTATGTGCCTCCCATGCAACCTGTGTACCACGCCGATCCAACGAGCTCCCGACTCATTATAGCACACGTTCTGCTGAGCTAACCGTCAATTTCGAGCCTATTACCCAGAACCTTACCATGATTGCCCAAGACTACACTCGATTCGCAGACATTGTCATGCAGTGCAGCAAGAGCCATGTTCACAGGGTGAGTGCTGCCTCCTGCATCATTCCCTAGCTGTCCGCATGGCGTCTGTCCTCCGCGGCTCGACGTGCTCACTCCCTTAGGCTATGTCCCTTCACCTCCCTCACCTCTCCCTTGTCCAGACGGCCTCTCGACTTGTCAAGTCCCACCGCAGCGCTCAAGTCAACTGCGTGAGAGTATGACCTACTGTCTACACATCTCGCAGCTGCCGCCCTCCGCTGACGCGACTGGATCGTGACCCTCGCGTCCACTGAACGCAAGGATGGAGAAAACCTTGCCAACGCATCGTAAGAGCAACAAGGCCCTACGTACATGATATGTTCCGATGTGTAGGCATATATTATGAAGGTCGTAGTAGTCTTAATACATCACATTTGCCCCATTTTACATGCAGGAGAGGTTTCCTGACAAAATGCATGATTTCAGTGGTCTGATGTTCTGAGCTATCTGATACTGTCTGTCACTGTCTGGGGTCAACTGAAGTGATCTGATCATTTGTGACATCTGGAGTGCCCTGATGTCTCTGAAGGCCAGCTCTCAGACACACATACTGTCAGAGATTGCATGGTTTCCTGATGGACGGACGACGTCAGGCGAAGATGGATCGACCCCTGTGCCTTCTGATCGTGCTGCAGCCACTCGTAGTAGACTGAGGCATTCTCTGTGTCTAGTGTTGTCGTAGGCCAGGCTCGCAAGCCCAAGCCCGGCCCAGCCGAGCCCAGCCGAGCCCTGAAAAGCCTGGCCTAAGCCTCTTGAAGCCCGTTCAAAAGGCCCGGCTTTTAAGTTGTAAAGCCCAAGCCCGGCGGCTCAGGCCCGGGCTCATTACCAGATACGGTAACTACGAACTCACCGAGCGCGGGCGAGCAACTCGCTGACGGACCACCATCCGCCTCTGCCGCTAGCTTCCCGCCGCCCTCCCGCCGCTCCCTCCGTCTGACCAACACCCCGGCACCCTCGAAAATACCGCCTGTGGGCCCGTCCGCAAGAGACAGGCCCGTGATGACGCGCAAACATGTCCCTTTGTCTGGCCGGCGCGTGCTGGAAATTGCGCCTTAAGCGGCTGCGACGGCTCCCACGACGCTGCAAACGCGACTGGAGCCTTAGGGAGGAACCAGAAGTAGGAGGAGAGGGGGAGAGAGGCCAACATGGCCATAATGAGGTGAGTATCCTTCTCCACGAGCTGCAACCATCGACGGCCCGCGGGCGCAGGTCGAAGGAGCCCCCCCGCCCACTTGTCCTTTGCCTCAACGCGGTGCCCATGCTCCCGAACGACCGGGCCGCAAACGTCGCAGCGCTCCCGCCCACGCCGTCCACCGCGCACTCGTCCGCCGCGCCACCGGCGATGCCTACGATGCCCATGCCGCCTAGCTCGTCGGAAGTATGCAGAAAGCGGATGGCCCCACCCCTGCCCCGTGGCCGCCATTCACGACGCCCGCAACCCTCGTGCACGAGCACGCACGCACTCCCAGCCTGTCATGCCAATACCCGCCGCCCGATGTACACCAGCGCGCCCGGTGGCTCATTCACCCGCTCGCTGACCTTTGCCTATCCATCCAGCTGCCTGCTTACTCGGCCGCCCACTCACTCGGCCGCTCACGCTCTTCGACTCTCGCGTCCAGCCACTTTGAGCCTGACCCCAACGTGCCTCATCCTGACGCACCGCATCAACCTCATCCCGCGCCTTGGCCTGGTGCCTCGTCGAGCGCGTCTGCTGTGATGCCTGCAAGGGTGATGCATCACTGCACACTGGCCGGCTCACAGACCGGTCAGCGCTCGGGCTCGCCGCCGTGAACACGCTCAGCTCGAACGAGCTTGTGTCCAAGTCCAAGGTCGTCACGCACACGCACGCCGTGTTCTGGAAGGAGTCCGGCTGCCTCTTCAGGATCGACAGCACCAAGAACAGCTCCGGCGTACCCCTCAACCATCCATGGCACGACGCGCATGAGGGTACAGCGCCGCACCGAGCACAGCAGGCCCGAGTTCACTGCAGACGCAGTAGACAATGGGCACGACGCACACATCACCGCGACGTGCGCGATGCACACGGCATGACGGCTGATGAACAAGGAGTGTTGTGGCTAGCCTGAGGCAAGGCTACAAAAGAATACTACAGGAGCACAAAGAGCACTGTAGTAAAGGAGGACTTACAACAGATCTCTTAAGAGCTGAGAGGGAAGACTCAGAGGCGTTAAGACGAGAGGAGAGACCGTTACATTCTAGGGCGTATCCAGCCCGGTATATATACACATGAGAGAGCCATCACATGATCGTACAGTAAGCGTAACAGCGTAGAGTCATAACGGAGCGATATGGTGCAATGAGCGAATACACAAGGATGAGGCGATATTGCATCATGAATGGAATGTCATGGAAAGGACTGGAATAGCGATGTGCTTGATGATGCAATACGATGCAATCAAGGAATGTGCTGGAACATGCTGGAAAGCGGTGGAATGTTCCATCAAGGTCTAGATCTAATCATGTGCTACAGGTCTGGAACAAATCCGAAAAGAATGTATGTAATATGTAGCATAGTAGAACATAAGTCCATAACGGGTAAGAATAAGTCCTATCCCGTGTGATAACACCCAAAACAGTTGAAGTTCAACAACGGCGTGTGCGGCGAGCACAGCACGGTGGTACCAGTATGCACGACGGTCACGAGTGTCGAGCCCAAGCACAACTGGCGAATGGCTTCCCGGTGCGGGCATGGCACAGAGAGCAGGCACAAACATGGTGCAGATGAATGGACACCAGCGCAAAGGAGAGCGGGCATGGAGGACAGCCTGACCAGCAGAAGCAGTGGCGGGCGCGGACAAGCTGGAGCGGGAATGGGTGGGCGGCGACACACGCAAACAAATGGAAATGGACGCAGACCAGCAGGAGCGCACAGGTGTAGGCAAGCTTGCATGGGGCAGGGAACAAACGAGGGTGCGGGGATGAGGGCGATGGCACTACACCGCCCGTCGAACGTCGGCCAGTGATAGGGTATGAAGGTGAGCCCAAATCCGCGAGCAGTGCGCCCGCGGTACGGTGGCCTCCAGTGCCAGACTGTTTGTGTGCTATAAGCCCGGGCCCAAGCCCAAGCCCGGCCGGGGCCCAGCCTGAGCCCGCTCATCGGGCCCGGCTCCTCATTCACTGAGCCTGAGCCCGCCAAAGCCGGGCCCTTGCCCGGGCTTACAGGCCCAGCCCGGCCCCAACATCACTATCTGTGTCCAGAGTAGGCTGGGGCCAGGTCACATTGACAATGATCCAGACCTCCTGCGCCATGAGGAAGGCTGACATTGATTCAGCCCAGGCGCGGTAGTTGGAGCCGTCAAAGACGGGTGTTACGGATGCAGTAGAACACGTCAAGTCCGCGTACACTACTATCTACAAGAACACCTTCGGTAATCGCGAGCCGCACGTCTTCGTAGCACGTACATAACTACTGGACATTTAACTCCTGTATTCTACTCTGTAATTACTGTAAGCGCGCGCGTGCAGCCACTTCGCGCGCGCGCAACGAATAGACGCTAAGCATCTTATACTCCTACCACTTCGTCCGCGTGTGATACCCGCACCGTCCGAACTGGAGTTTGCTGTCGTCGAGAGTGCTCCTCGCTCCTCGACAAACCGAGCAGCTCCTCGCTGTCTCGTCTCTCGGGCTCCTCGCCGCGAGCACGCTCGTCTCGTTGGCTCCTCGCCAGCGCACGTCCACAATCCTCGCACCGGCTCCTCGCCAAGGCTCGATCGACTGTATCTCGCGGGCTCCTCGCCCTCGCACGTCGGCTTGCTCGTCTGAACGGCTCCTCGCCTTAGACTGACGACCAGCCTCTCGTTGGCTCCTCGCCGACGCACGTTAGCGTAACCCGTGCCGGCTCCTCGCCAAGGCTCGGCTACCCGCATCTCGTGGGCTCCTCGCCCACGCACGTCCGCTAGAGCGACTCGACGGCTCCTCGCCCTCTCTAGTCCTCTCAGCTCCTCGCGGCTCCTCGCCTGCGAACGACCTCACGACCTCTCACGACTCGGTCGCGTCGCGACCACCAACGTTCTCCCCGCTTAGACAGCCCGTTCCCTACCAGTGCGAGCTGACGAAACCAGCGTCTCTCACAACGGGGACAGTGGTGAAGAGGGTGTTGGAGGCCATTGGTAGAGGGTTTGAGGTGATAAACTCGGTAAATGGGGAATACTGACAACAATGTCGTCAGCCCTCTACTCAATGACTAATGCAGCCATAGAGGCGCAACCACCACTGTGGTGCATGTGCCGGGGATAGCAGCAACAGAGTTGCGCTAAGACTTGCAGCGATGTACGTGCATAGTCCCCCCCTGGCTTCTAGCCACTAAGGCGAAGCCGCAGGTAAGCTGGTGCGCACACTGAGACGCAGCCAGTGAGGCACAGTACTCAGGCAGTGACCAGGGCTCATAACCTGTTGAGCAGGCAGCTCCACGCAGTGGTGCGCCCTCACAACTTACCTGCAAGGTTGCTGATGCTTGATGCACACGCAAGTACTTCGACTGAAGGTACTGGGGATTGAGCTACGCTACTGGGGTCCTTATATACATGAGGAGACCGCTTATCTAAGCTACTGTATAGTACGTTCCCACGACATACAAGGTAAGTGGCGTAGCCATGTGATAACACACAAATGACATCATAGATGACATCATGGACCCGGAGCTTCCCATAGAACCGGTCCGGCCTGTGTTTGAACCCGGCAGCCCGGTAGGCGCCTTCCTAGTTCAACACAGTGTTTCCTTGGTCTACACATTCGTCAAGAACGTCTTGCACGTCGTATCTTCGTTGACCAGGAAGACTATATTCAGTCTGTTTTGGAGAGGTTCCAAATGTCCAACTGCAAGTCTGCAAGGACGCCTCTTCCCGCTGGAGCAGTATTAGAGAAGAACACTGACACTGCATCTGAAATTTTCCGAACCCGTTACCAGAGCATCATTGGCAGCATCATGTATGCTATGCTTGGTACTCGCCCAGACATCTCGTTCGCGGTCACGCGTCTGGCGAAGTTTTCTTCAAATCCGTCTAAAGAGCATATGAAGTTTGTGTAGTACTATGTCCTGAGATATTACGATCCCTGAGGTACGAAGGAATCATTCTTATGACTGGAGGGCATGAAACACCTTACAGTGGCGCCCGATATGGAAGGAGTCCACGTGACTTTTTGAGGCCCAGATAAGCAAAGATAAGTAACTGATACTGATGTCCTATTAGCGGGACCAAAAATTTGAAACTCCCAGACGACGTGACTTACACCAACAGATACAAATAAATGCTGTGGCTGGCTGCTCTGTCCTGGGGTGAGGGCCCATGAAACACCTTCCAGTGGCGCCCAATATGGCAACTGGCAGCTTTCATCATGTGACTTACAGGCTGGCTGGCTGCTGAGGCCTGCCAGCGCTCACACTGTATACAGTCAATTAGTAAGTAATCATAGTAGACATAGTATGCCCATCTGATAGCCATCCGTTCAAAGAGTATACAGTAATATTCCTAAGCACTTACAGTGGCTGGTTGGGCTGGAAAGTGCAAAACAAAAAAATCTACATGTGCCTCTGCATAAGTCAAAGCACCTCTGTCTGCTCCAGATACTCACTGAATTGTCAGGACAGTGACCTCATGCAGTAGAATGACTTTGTATGTGTCAGTTGCTTCTGTGATACAGCAAAGATGAGCAATATTGGGCAATTTGACCACTAGTGTGCATATAATTGCTTATGTGTCATGTCTATCACTGACTTGTGTCATTTATGATGACCAACTGTGCCTGTTTAGTTTCCTGATATATTATCAGGATTTTGTGCATTTTTACAAGCTCATAACAAGCCCATTTGCCCTGTATCAGCTGTGGTTTCCTTATTGGGCAGGTTGCCTGCTACTTATGGCAATACACAGAACAGCACACTCATAGACCTCATCTGGGCCCCTCTGACTAAACACTGCATGTATGATACATCTGTGGGAGTATGTGTGCCACACAGACAGTGACTAGAGCCTAATGTATTGCTTCTGTAAGCACTGGGCTGATGATACAGCAACCAATGTAGATGTATTGAAGGTGTAACATGAGATAGAGTCTTTCTTCTCAATTGGAGCCTTTCAATTCATTGTCTATGCTTTTGATAATATTCACTGATTTCTCCACATTTGTTTAGATCTGTACAAGCTAGTTTAAGAGAAGTAACAGGCTTACATCGCTTACTAAGCGCTCATTAAGCGCCCGTGTGCCGTTCGGAGTTGCATCCACCTGGAATTTCCTGGTGGATGCAACTCCGTGCGGCAGGGGAGCGATGCCGATTGGCTGATAAGCCAGTTTCCTTGCCCTATTAAGGCAGGCCTGCCGATGTTTGGGCTGAGTTTAAAATTCAGCCACAAGGCCATTAGTAGCACAGTCACTCTGCTACTATAGGCCAATAAAATCCGTAAAATCTTCAAAATATTATGCTTTGTAGCCCTCACACTATAGAGTCTATGGCTAGTCTTACCTTCTCATGCACTTCAATACTCAGGGCACAATTCACGAAATGAAAAAATCATACAAATGCCTCCGCGACATGCTTGTAGTCCTTTGCACCTGGTAAATGATCTCTAAGAATGCACTTGTATGCCTATAAGCACCTTTGTGTCTAGTAGTGTACATTACAATCTACTTGCTGTTGTTTCTGGTATGTGGATCCACCTTTGTAGATGCAGAGGCACATGTGAGTTTTTTTGTTTTGCATTTTGTGGCTTTGCTAGCCATTGTATATGCATAGCATTCACATTATATATCCTCTGAATGAAGGGCTTTCAGGAGGGTATAGTATGCTAGTAGTCCTCATACTATAGACTCTATAATGGGTATCAGTTTGCTGTAGTGTCCATTACTCATGCCACAATATACAAAACAAAAAGTGCACAAGTTGTCATGGTTTTCTTTACTTCGTGC